CCCTAACCCTAACCCTAACCCTAACCCTAACCCTAACCCTAACCCTAACCCTAACCCTAACCCTAACCCTAACCCTAACCCTAACCCTAACCCTAACCCTAACTCGTGGGGCTACCTAGTAGATTGGTTTATGACTGAGCGTCATGTGGCAGAGCTTTCTGTGCGCGGCTTGCCGCTGGAGTCATAGACCTGTATCCATGGGGCGCTGCTTCGGAACTTCAGGAATGCTGTGGTGTGGTTGAACCGTACCCAACAGCCACCGTCCTGCCAGTTGTGTGGCATTTTCGTAATAATTCCAGCGGGGAGCATCGGCGTGGTAGGAAGGGTGATTTGGTGATCACTCAAGATGGGAATTCAATCTTCGAAAGATCGAGTTCTAGATGGTAGTTCCTGGGAGATAACTCCCAACGACGAAAGCCGACCTCTGGCTACGTCCAGTTGATGGCAATCGAGCAACCACTTTAACTGTCGATGAAGGAGTCTCTAGCCAGCCTCTCGCGTCCAGAGCGAGGTGCGCCGTTGACTCCGAAAGACCTATTTCGACAACGAAACTGAGTTCGGTCCTCTGTTGGCCAGGGGCCCAGCAGCAATCTGCTTGTATGTTCCAGTTGCCGATGACGACGGTGGTCGATCTAAGTGGAATCGACCTCTCGACACACGCCCAACTTGTGGCCATATAGTGACCTCGTGGTTCCGGACCCGGCATTACTTTGACCACCAGCATCTGGTTCCAATCACGGTAGGAGAGCTTGCCAGTCAGGATTTTCCCGGTAACGCAGACAAAACAAAAGAGAGAGAGAGAGAAAAAGCGCTACTATCTAAAAGAAAAACACTATCTAAAACAGAGTAAACAAAAAAATTAGAAAAACAATAAAAACATGCAAACGACTGGAGTGTATTTTAAGCTTAGTGATACACTTACATGCGTTTTAATAGCTCCGTGTAGATATCACAACAAGTAGCGTAGTTCTCATGGGCTTTAGATGCAGCCTTCACATAGGCCCACTTGGCCTTTTCAAGCTGATTCCAGAAATTTTGTTCTATGTAGACATTAACAACAGAGTATGTAGTTAGACAATAGAAACTATACCTCGCGTTTAAGCTAAGGGTACATCAAGATCCGTCTGACTGTGCTGTTGACCCTGCATGAAATCATTGTATTCACTTTCGCGCAGTTCAAACTTCTGTTTCATTGCATAGTATCTATCAATCCCAGGAACATCGACTGAGTTACATTGACTTTGAAGCCGGTTCAAAGCATCAACTTGTTGGCGCCGAACGCTAACGGCCATGTGGATGTGATGGTATAAAGTAAGGACTATTGTATAGAGTATTGTAATATAGTGATTAATGTGATGGTGTAGTACTCCAAGACACAATGTGAAAGAAAACAGATGTATGGAGGATTGTAAATGGACTTGGCAATTTGTTCAAAAAACGGGATGGACGGATCACCCTGTGTCTTCACTAGTTTGACCACTGGAGTGATCCTCACCGGCATGCTGCGCACCCTGCCTCTGAGTGGGTGGATGGATTTCTCTTCGGGCTGGACAGACAGTCGAGCTTCCCGTCGAAGCAGCTTGCCGACGCATGCATCGTGCCCTCAAAATAATGGCCCATCGGGTGGACAGTGCCCACGACCCGAGTCGCGTTGATTGTCGCCATCATCTCTCCGGCTCCCCTTCCAGTGTTGGCCCTCCGTTGAGATAGCCCCAGTCTTAAGCCTCTTGCACTTACTGCCCAGAATCTTGAGTTTGGTTTTGTTCGCAACATGGGTGCCCTGGCATGATCGGCAAGCTTCAACGGCACCGCATTCCTCACAGACGTTTGGAGCCGCCAGGATAACAAGCTGAACTCGGCCACGACTGTGTAGGAGCCATTGCTTCATATCCCTTATAAGATCGTCATGTGTTTCACTGAAGCCCTTGTGGTTTTTGCGATCCTGTTGCAACCACGAACTGATTATCAGAGTGCGATTGGCCGTGCTGCTCTGTGGCTCTTCCTAGTAGATCAGTGTAGACCGCATGAAGAGCAAAGGATTATGAGTTTGAAGACGATCCTGACGCATGATAGGCCAACTAGTCTTCTCGCAGATAAAGAGAAGAAGAGAGAGAATCAGGCTGGAGAGAAAAGCAGCGGAGAGAGGCGGAAGGGAGAAAGGCAAGGGAGGAGAAGAAAGGGAATAAAGAAAGACGGCGTTAAGAGTCAGAGCAGTGAATCTATCTGGAGAGAGCTGATACATAGTGAATGATGGATAGTGGATGAGCATACTGAATCCGAGGCTATATCTGATCAGCAGGGAATGTCCAGAGATATTCACTGCAGCCTCAAACAACAGTACTACTGCATATGAATGTAGCCTTTCAAAATGCTCATGTTGAATAAACTGTATTGGGAATCTCAGAACTATCATAACTCTATCAAATCATGGAACAACAGGACAGTGATATGGACACAATATTATCAAAGGCTATACATATTAGAAATCAAAGATGTTCATCTGCGGTCTTGAACACTTCCCGATCAGGCATATCTGGACGAGCACGGACAGAATGACCATCGCCCCCAGAATTCGCATTGATCGAATAGAAAGACTCCAGATCCCCGGATGGTCGAGGCGCAGACAACGTCTCGACAGAACCATTGGTCGAGTTCTTGTCGTTGACCACGCCGATTACTCCAGTAGAATGAAGCACTGCCCGAGTACTGGCATTGTCCAGTGCCGTCGTCACTGTCAGAGCTACTGACCTCGCATCATCGAGTGTACTGGCATCTTCTCGCTCGGTGGTCATGGCGCTGCGAATCGTCCCGGAACCGGCCTGGGAGACAGGCCGGGGCTTTTCGGATCGAGCGGGGATGGTCCCGGCAGCATGTAGCAACGTCGTCGTGCTGGCATTATCTGCATTGAACTGCTTGCTTTCATAACCGGGCAAAACAATCATAGGAGTAGTAGACTGTCCCCAATTCGACGTTGCCGGACGAGAGGCTTCAGATTGGTTCCTATCTTGTTCAGCATCGTTAGGTGGTTCCTCATCTTTTCGCGGACCCTCGGGTGATTTCCCTCCATTGACCTGTGCGTCCTTGTTTGACTCCTCAGTCGGAAAGGACTCGACACGATCTCCAGATCTCGTTTTGTCCATGGACGCCCATGCTCGTCCAGCTTCGACGCTCGTTAGCTTCGAGCGACCCTCCGTCTGCATCTGTTGTTCTCTTTCAAGGGTCTTCTTGTCATGCTTGCTAGCCATCCGACTCCACATCGTCATCGGGTAGCTCTTCCGATGCTTTCCGCCCTTTTGAGGCAAGACACCGGGAGCCATTCTCCTTGCCGCCAAGGAGCTAGGAGGAGCAGTGTCGCCCTCAAAATCCTGGAATCCGCGAGCCAACTCCTCGATCCGTTGCTTCTGCACTCGCAGCTTATCCTTGGCAAATTTGATATCCCACTCTTTCTTGCCCGCCATCCACTTCCGGACCAGCTCCGGGTTCGCTACGCCGATCTTATCCCGCGGGAATTGCAGGACGGAATATGAGGACGGGGGATCGAGGGGATATATGTGTCCTCTCTTGTCGACTCTCTGGCGGATCATACGATCTCTAAAGGCGGGCAGGGAATCACCAGCCCTGCCGACGAATGCAACTGGCGGTCTTGAGCTACCCTTGTGGTCCCCGTTGGCAGCTGCTTCAAGACCGTCTGTCTCACTGGAGGAGGAGATGGGGGAGATATCATTGTCATCGAGGATGTGAATCTCAGAAGTCTGGGAACATGCAAGAGCCCAGGCACCGAATTGAGCAATCGAACGGAACATGTACTTGGCCGGACGCGTGAAACTTAGGGTTGGCGCAACGTGGCAGAGATCGTCCCAAACCTGGAGCTGAACGTGTGTGCCAGGATATTTGTGTAAGATTTCACGTTTGGGATGATACTCGTCAAGAGTCTTGTCACTGGGTGGATATGCTGTCGGATTTGCGGCCTTGTGAGCAATGTAAAACTGCTCATCCCTTAACCGCTCGCCTCCCCCGGAGAGGATCTGAAGTGGGGGTAGACCGCCAAGTGACGGTTGGAGTACCGGAGAGACGAGTGGGTGAGACATGAGGTGATTCGGTGCGTACATTTGAATCTGGTCCTTGAGTTCGACTTTTTGACCGTCAATAGGAATTTCGATGATCCTGGTCTCGTCATCCACTGCGTTTTGATCACCCGGCGGAGTAGGTTCTGTCCGACCTGACCCGTCCTTCTCGACTGTGTACCCCTTCACTGCTGTCTCTTGAGCCCGGCTGTCCTCTTTTGGCAAGGCTTCCTCCACGGCGCTTTCTGGTGACTTCTGCTTTGCGTTCTTGATCGCCCGAATTTCATCCGCGTTTGGGGGCGGCCAGGCTGCGGAGGGCTTATGTCGAAAGCCATTCGGCGGGATGTAGTCACCTGGACAATCCAATAGCACACTGGGAAAAGAATGTGTAAGATCAACCCAGGGAGAGATTAGGATCGCTCCGGCGGGCAAAGGCAGTCCTTGGTCGCGTATGGTGACCAACATTCTGCCAAAATTAGTACATCGCCAGAGCAGTGGGTAGGGCACTTACGAAAGTATCATGCCACCGCCTGCGGAGTCTCCCGCAAAGATGATCTCTGTCGGATCGTGTTCGGTGAGGAGGAACAAATAAGCCGCCAGACAGTCCTGTAGGGCGCAAGGAAAGGGAAACTGCGGTGCCAGACGATATTCAGCTATTGTAGGTTTTAGCTGCCATTCTACTTTCTGTGACCGGGCGTAACTCACTATGCACGATTAGCATATCCCTAGTTAGGAGAGAGGCCGTCTTACCGTGCAAATACTCGACCCTTGAGCTTTCTAGCATGACGCTGCAATTGATACCGATGGGTCTCCACACTGCCAAAAAAGTAGGCACCGCCGTGAATATACAACATGATGCGCTTCCCGCTCGGATGATCGTTTGTGCGTTTCCTCTCATGGTAGTCCGACTTCATCTCAATCCATTCTCCCCTGAGGTCCTCCGACGGTCCACGCCATTGCCACCATTTCTCTCCCCCCACGCGCGCTACGCCTTTGGGACCAAGTTGGTTGATAAGAGCGGTCGCAGCAGAGGAGAGGTACTTCTCTGGAATGAGGACCTTGGTTGTCTTTACCCAATGAGGGGCGGGAACTCGTTGAGCTGTGAACGCCTGAAGATCCTCGACGGTGTGTTTGGAAGCATAGATGAGAAATTGACGAATGACCTGGATTGCCTCGTCGTAGGAGATGTGGACGGTTGGTTTCGTGCGACGGGATTTTCGATGCAGATACTATCAACTCAGGCTATCAGTGGACGGTGGAGAAAATGCTGGGCGATACCCACATGAGAGACCAAGGTCGCGACGACGGTAGGCGTAAGGGAGGCACCCAATGCGACCGTATTCAATGTCATGGCGAGATGTCAGTAGATGGGATGTTTGCGATATTCAAAATGCACCAATGAGTCCTTGTGTTTGGGGTGTATAACAGGAACCGGAACCGAGGTCGGGCGGTCCGCGGTTGGGCCTAAGGAGGCGAAGATAACAAATGCACAGGAAAGAATGTCTGATGATTCAACTGCGTCCCATGTTCCGTAGTGACAGTGGCAGGACAGTGTGCCTTATAACAGAGACAATTATAGGCAGCGATGTCCACAAGAGACAAGAGACAAGAGACTGAAAGTGGGAGAGGAAGCGAGGAAAAGAGAGAGAGAGAGAGAGAGAGCAAGGGGCAGCAAAGCACATCTGGTGATGTCATTGCCCGCTTTGGCACAAACGATACGCTAGTCCTCTTCTGGATGCGGAGTCGGAGATCATCACAGAGAAACAAGAATCTGGATACCCGAGATGCTGTGCGATTGACGACCATCTAGTGGAGAGCGTATCAGAAATGCCATGCACCTCATCTATCACTTCAATTCAAAGGAGTCCTGTTGCCTTAAGATGGTTACGGCTGAAAAGAGCCAAAACAGGCACGAGTAGATGATCTTGTTAAAGAGATCGAGAATTCGGCATGAAGATGAAGACCGCACCAGAGGACTGGAAAGGATACTACAACAAGTTGGACGCCATGTCTCATGTAAGTGAGATACTCTGTGCAAGATTCCAGTAATAAGCTAACTGCGATTGAGATACAATTGTTCTCGGTGGCATAAATCAAGAAGTCGCCTGATCTCGCGACCTCGCCATTGACTCCGACGAAGAACGAGAAGGTTCTGTCGAGTTTTTTTAATGGGGGCCTTCGGATCGCCAGAAATGAGGCACTTGCCATCCTCGGCGCGTATGAACAACTAAAAGGGAAAAGGTCGAAGCGGTTGCGGGAGTGGAGTCTCCAGGTTCCAAGACCCGTGCTCAGTCGTTTTGGGAGAGGATCATATCCGCGACGTGATACACGCAACCGAATATCGTCCCTTCAATTGGCCATATCTTTGGCTCACTTAGTTGGTTCGAGCTCACAGTAAGTTTCAAAAGTTCAATAATGCACACCAATACCAGTTGAGACCATATCTTCGACAGACACAGAGGAAAGGAGCAACTTCTCAATGAAATCAAAGAACATATATATTGCGAAACAGTCGGAGGCACTACGCAATCTCGACGAGACAAGCCGACTTGGTCGAAAGCCAAGAGAGATTAGTTTCCCGCCGTTGTTGCGTCTCCTACAAAGAAACCTCTCCTCCTTTCAGAGTGCCTCCACCAGCGATACTCGAATTCGTTAAAATTGGAAGCCTCAAGCACCAGTTTGGAGTCAGTGAATACAGCTGCGGAGCCCCGCGAGACATTTTCCAATGGCGAAGGAAGTGGAAAGGGCAATATTCAGGTTTGTTCTCGTCGTGGAAAGCAGGCACGGTCCAGCCGGTCAGGTACATCGAAACGATTCTCGCGTACTCGATCGTGATGTTGTACAACAGGATGCCAAACTTCTATGATTCATACAGATCCTCATGGGATAACATCGTTGATCTAAGCCAAAGAAGACAGTGTTCAGCTTGTTCCAGAGCTTGGTGTCTAGGATGTCTTCCACTTCTCATTCTGCTGAGACAATGGTTCCACGTTGCCATTGGAGCAGATTGCATAGATTGCTTTATTTGCCTGGGATTAGATATATTCTAATCCATTCTATCCTAGCACATACGACCATAGGGTGTGGAAAACAGGGCTTCCCGTCCGCTCAGCCGTACTTACGCCAGTATTATCAACGCGGTCAAAAGTTATATGCGCCCTTGAAGGCCTGCTGCTTTACGGGTGAGAGACGCTAAACCACAGGGTGAGTGCGGGTGAGTGAAGGTGAGCTGAGCGATGCTATCCAACAGCATGGGTAAGCGTGGGTGATCAGTGGGTGAGAGAGCGATTCTGTGGTGAGTGGACTCCCTGTAGCTCATTAATAATATCTCCATCGCCAGCTTAAATATGAGGGCTTCTTCTCTGCTCAACCATTATCTCCTTTCCTATCTACAAGCGGTGTGTGTGTGTGTGTATATTTTACGGCCGTGGCTCGTGACTTGCACGTTTTCCACTATCCCTGATCAGGGCAAAGGCCGCCAGGGGGTGAGCCCTGGGTGTCTCTAACTATTGCTAGTTCTATGT